AGCTTGGAGTAATTTGAATCTTCTAATGGTTTGTTTTTGTGATTATTTGCTAGTATATACTCTCATCATCTATTGTAATTAGTCAATATTAAAGACTCGAGCTAAGTTATGTTGAAGGCCAAGTGATGACTTCAATGACAGCACAAATTTTATTAATACCATGTAACCACCTCATACTTGATCTAATGCACAACTCATTCTCTCTCCTTTATCCCTTGCGTTCAATACCACTTGGAATACTCCTAGGAAAATGTGCTACCACGTTACTGTGTTGTAGTATAAGTAGGTTCATATAATTGATGCCAACACCTAGCTCCACTCTATAAGGTAAGATGTGTACATGAAAAATTATGAATTATTGTAGCATATTGTGCATGACCAATTAACAAGTATACAAATCACACCTAGTAAAACTAAAATTGACAAAAAATAATTTATTCCTAAATAAAAACATAAAGTGTTTTAATCTTTGGTGGATATGTGATGATGCAACTTGTTTCTTGCGATCCAACTGGCTTAATTCCTATTCCTATATTTGGAATAACGTAGTTTTTCGGTTTTCACTCCTTCCCATCCTTACCGTATTCCTCTATTTTGCAATCCTCTGTTCCAAATAGATCCTCAAGGTTTGTTAGTTTTGCACAATTCCTCTCCTTGCTTTCCGAGACTAATCTGAGCCTACAGATTCTTAAGGCTTAACATGGATGTCCGATTGTAGCTAATGAATACATACGCTTAACTTGGCATTAGTAAAATTAATCTTGTGCAATTAGGGGGAAAACATCACCATCTGAGCACAATTAGGGCTGTATATGCATTAACAGAGGCATAAAAGGGTCCATCCATTGATTACCTAATATTGGACTTAATTTGCATAATCCGATAGTATCTTGACTAGACTAATCACATAAGTACTTGGGAACATCATACACGTGTTGTCTCCTTAAACCTCATCTGTGCCTGTTATCATGGCCTTGTTATTAGGGAGGCACGAATACCTCCTTTGTCTAAAATGCACTACCATAGCCTGCTACATCTCGTTTGGAACTAGAAGAGAGTTTTACCATTCGTCGGGGCATGCCATCTCGCTAGCTAGCGGAGCATTTGCAATGGCTGAGAACAAGGTTGGTCAATAGTAAATTTCGGCACAGGGGGAGAGAGGGGGGAGGCAAGAAATCAAAAACAAAGAAAAAATAGGATAAAGAAAAGCAAAAAAAATAAAGGGAAAAAGCGAAAGGGAGCGCCTCCGTTCTCACTTTTTAAACCCAATGTCTATCACATTTCTTTGATTTCCTCCGAACAGAATACTGCCATTAACAATTTACTGCTCCCCACAAGACTTGAGGCCTGTTTTTGGTATACCACACCGGCATTGAGCCCTCACAATGCCCTGTAATAAGGGCTTGTTTGGATTGGAGGATTTTCAAATAAATTCAATTCCTATGTTTTGGTTATATCACATGGTGTATGGAGTGAAGGTACGTAGTTTTCCTTTCATATGGAATGGCTTGTTTTCCTTCACGAAATGGAGAAAATAAAACATCCACTTCAAGCTCTTGGAAATTTTTCCTACATGTGAATAGAGGGATGAGTAAGTCCTTATTCACTAGAATGGAGAAATAAACATGTTCTTATGTTTCTGTGTTCCAAACATTTATTCCTACAATTTTTCCGTGTTTTTCAATCCTCTATTTTATACATACATTCATTTTGTATTTCTGTGTTTTCTTTCTTTTTCTTCTATTTTGCATTCCTTCGTTCCAACACAGGAGCTTTAGCTGCCATCACCATTAAACCTACCAGCTTCAGGCTAATAGAGTATGTTTGCTAGCGTGTGGAGAGGAGAGCCATGTGACAGAAGAGATAGAGATCCATGATATTATTTTCTATATATATTCTCTCCTTCGTTTCAAACAGGAGCTTTAGCTGCCATCACCATTAAACCTGCTAGCTTCAGACTAATAAGAGCATGCTTGCTTGCGTGTGGAGAGGAGAGCCATGTGACAGAAGAGATAGAGATCCATGATATTATTTTCTATATATATTCTCTCTTTCCTGTGCTTTATTCTACTTCTCTGATTTCGATTTCTTCACTAAGAATGATGATATATTTTTCTATATTCCCTCTTGGAGCCATAAAGGACGCCGCTCATTTCGTATGGGATCTGGGAAAGACTTGGCGTCGGTGCCACGACTTCACGTGCTAGCGCTTAGCGCTGTATCGGCTCGGCTGGTGCCAGTTCCTCTCCTCTTGTCTGTGTCGCTGCCACCTAGCCTCTACCGTTGGAGATGCTCTTATCGCCCAATAGCCCCCAGACAGGTAGCCTTCACCCCTGCTCGCTCTGTCTTCTCCCCTTCGCACCGAGTACGCTCTCAGCCTCACTCTCTCTCCCCCTCTCCCTCTCCATCTCGCTAGCTCGTGTTGACAACTAGGCGACCGCCATCGCCACCGCTGCCCCACACTAGGAGTGTGCGTGTCGAGGTCTTCGTCGGGGCCGTTCGCCGGAGACGGGCACCCGCCACTTCTCTTCTCTTCCTACTGCACGAATCCGAGCACCCAAACCCTAATCTTAAGGTATTCAGCAATTTGTAATCGGATCTGATCTAACTGCGAGTGTACACATGCAGTGGTGGACGCAGTATTATAATATTGGGTGTGCAAAAAATTTTCCCTTTTATTTTATTCATAATCATGTCTAACTCATTATAAACAAGCTTTTAACATACACACTTATAAACTTCAAAATAACTATGAAGTATTTTCAAACTAAATATGCGATGATTACTTTCATAACTTTTGATAAATCACTTGGTGACTTGGTATGTATGGAATGAACACGTCTATATATGTATTTATAGCTTTATGGTGGCAACCTTCTACAGTTTTCTATATTTTAGAATATTTCTCATGTTTATCTATTTCCCATATATTTCTTATTACACAAAATATCTAGATCTAGAGTATTCCATGTAGAATCTTGCTTGCGTTTATCTATTGCCTAGATATTTCTCATGCATATACCCATTTATCTGGAAAGTTTCTCACGTAGAAGTTCCCTATTCCATAAGATATTAGGAAGGCAAATGGGTCATACCCCCTAACATTTTTTCTACTATGATAATATTTCTTTCCTCTAGAAGTTGTTTCTAACCCGAAAATATATTTTACTACAAAGGGGTAAGTAAAAAAATGTTCTACCTGTAGAAAAAAAACAATTTGTTCCATAAAGGACAACCAGTGTCATGTAAGAGTGGCAACATTCCTAATTTATTAATTATGCAGTATTGTTATTTGTATAATACTTTTTTCGAATGCATAATTGTTTTTATGGTCAAACTATTTCTATTCCTATTCTGTCATGTCAAGCCTTCTTTTGCTCTTGCCTCATAACGATGTCTATCTTTTCAACTTGTATATACCTTTATTTTCGGTTGGAGTTTTTCCATGGACTTAATGCCACTATGTGCCTCTACTGTCTTTGTGCCTTACGGATAATAAACACTCGCTTAGCCAGATTTATTTAAGGTTGATAAAGTGTGACTATTCTAACACACAAAAGTATTTTGCAACCTAATCTTTAACCCCCGTTACAACATAAAAATCCTTAGTAAATTATAGAATGAAAAGAGAGTGCTAGGAAGACTCAAAATTTTCACGAGATATTGAAGTGTCAGTACTCTTTATTAGTTCTTGTTGGAGCATGAATTTTTTTAATGAGTTCATACCATTTTTATATTGATGATAGCAATGTTCGTAGTTCATGGGAACTATTGTTCCATGTTTAGCACAAAAATATTTAATATTCACTTGGAAAATTGTCACAAAGAGAAAATTGTTTTTGTTTCAGAAAAGTGTTGTTATAGCTTCTTGGGTTGTGAAATTGGTATATGTTATTATGAAAATGGCTTCTAGCTTCAATAGAAAAATATTCAACCTTAATAAAATATAAAAAGTCCCATTTACTTATTTACAATGTACTATATATTTACTAGCCACTGATAGCGTCCAATAAAGAGAATAGATATAAAATTTCTGTTATTGAAAACAAATGTTGTACTAGCCATTGATAGTGTCCAATGAAGAGAATAGATATGAAATCAACAAGAATAAAAAAAATTAAAAGGGAGAGAAAGAAAAATAAAAAAGACAGAAATTTTCAAAGAAACTGGAAAAAAACGGCCCACATGAAGCCCGTGCGTTTTTTTTTTCCGCCGTCACCATTCCCCTTCCGTCAGTTTCCTCCCTCTTCCTCCTCTTCCTCCTCATTCTGTCTCTCCCTCTCTCGCTCTCGCTCCCCTCTCGCTCTCAGACGCCGCCGCCGCCCTAAGCCAGGTGCTGAGGCTTTCGTTGGTCTCTTCGCCGGCGAGGAGCACCCACCAGGTACTCTCACCCCTTCTCTTCCCTTCCCTTATGCTGTGCGAAGCTGAGCACCGAAACCCTAACCTAAAGCTATTTAGCTATTTGACAAGCCTCCTAACTTCGAAGTTTTTGCAAAAATTATTGGGTGTACATGTGTACACCCATGTCTCTTTACTGGATCTGCCCCCTGTACACATGTATTGCGCCTGCTAACTTCGTTTATTTCTTTTTTGTTTTAAAAAATTACCCCTTGTAGGTGCCAAAGAGAAAGGAAGGGGATCAGCAAATCGGTGCGCTGCTGTTCAAATGCTGGGGAGGAAATGAACAGATCAGGGGCCCTGGTAAAATGCTGCGCAGCGAGGGTGACTGACTGACTGGCCACCCCCGCCCGCCAACCCCCGTTTCGTGCTTACTGGGATGCTCTCAGCATAAAGGTTCACCCTTTTTGACTCTTGTTTTTTTACCTATAATAAGACTCACCTGATTCCTGTTGGTTCGGAGACAGTTTTTTTTTTAGTTTAGTATAATATATACGACGCATCTGATGCCTGTTGGTGCTAAGAAAAGCTAAAAAACATGCAGGAATCTTCTCGGCATTAGCCCCCGTGGCCGTGGCCGTGGCCGCCCCAAGTTTCAAGACATGGACCATGTGCCGGCTCTAGTTCTTGCCGTGTGCCTCCTGGCCTTGCTGCCTGGCTGGGCCTGTGGCCTTGGCTCCATGTCGTCCATCGCGGTGTCCTATGGGGAGGACGGTCCGGTGTTCTGTGGCCTCAACTCCGACGGCTCCCACCTCGTCGCCTGCTTCGGCGCGGACGCCTCCGTCCTGTATGGCGCCCCGCCCAACATCCCTTTCCTTGGCCTCACGGCAGGGGACGGGTTCGTGTGCGGCCTCCTGCTCGACACCAGGCAGCCGTATTGCTGGGGGAGCAACTCTTATGTCAAGAGCGGGGTGCCGCAGCCGATGGTCGAGGGCGCGAGGTACTCTGAGCTCAGCGCGGGGGACAACCACCTCTGCGCGCTGCGAGCGGCTGAAGATGGGGGCCGTGGTTCGAGCGCTGCTAGTGCTACGTCGTTGATCGACTGCTGGGGATACAATATGACCGCCACGCATGTCGTCGATGAAGCCGTGTCAACCGTTTCAGCCGGTTCCGTGTTCAATTGCGGCTTGTTTGCTCGGAACAGGACGGTGTTCTGCTGGGGCGACGAGACGGTGAGTGGTGTCGTTGGGCTGGCGCCGAGGGATGTGCGCTTCCAGTCTATCGGCGCAGGTGGTTACCATGTCTGTGGGGTGTTGGAGAATGCACAGGTGTTCTGCTGGGGCAGGAGCTTGGAAATGCAGCAGGTGGCACCGTCCAATGCTATCGGCAATGGTGATGTGAACATAGTGCCGATGGATGCGATGGTCGCTGTGGTCGGTGGGCGCTTCCATGCTTGTGGCATCAGGAGCCTTGACCACCAGGTGGCTTGCTGGGGCTTCACTCTTCATAACAGTACATCACCACCGAAAGGGCTGAGGATGTATGCGCTTGTGGCTGGGGACTACTTTACTTGTGGAGTGCCTGCTGAGACTTCGCTGATGCCAAGGTGCTGGGGCAACAGTGGGCCATTGGCTTTACCGATGGCCGTACCTCCTGGGATTTGTGTTCCTACTGCATGCAGCCTTGGGTACTATGAGTATGTGAACCATGGTGAAGTTGGCAGCATCAAGGTGTGTAAGCCTGCAAACTCTAGACTCTGCTTGCCCTGTAGTACAGGTTGCCCAGAAGACTCGTACGAGTCATCCCCTTGCAATGCAACAGCTGACCGTGTTTGCCAGTTTGACTGCTCGAGGTGTGCCACAGATGATTGCCTGTCATTCTGCTTATCACAGAAGCGGACCAAAAGCCGCAAGTTGATGGCTTTTCAGATGCGCATCTTTGTAGCAGAGATTGTGTTTGCCGTCATCTTGGTACTCAGCGTGTCAGTAATCTCTTGCCTGTATGTCCGGCACAAGCTTCGACATTGCCAATGTTCAAATAGGGAGCTGAGACTGGCTAAGAGCACAGCGTACTCTTTCCGGAAGGATAACATGAGGATCCAGCCTGATGTGGAGGATTTGAAGATCAGGAGAGCTCAAGAATTCTCCTATGAAGAGTTAGAGCAGGCAACCGGTGGCTTCTCAGAGGATTCACAAGTTGGCAGAGGCAGCTTTTCATGTGTATTCAAGGGCATACTGAGAGATGGGACAGTGGTTGCTGTGAAGCGTGCAATAAAAGCATCAGATGTGAAGAAGAGCTCAAAGGAGTTTCACAATGAACTTGACCTCCTATCCAGGCTCAACCATGCACATTTGCTGAACCTGCTTGGTTACTGCGAGGATGGCAGTGAGAGGCTCTTGGTTTATGAGTTCATGGCTCATGGATCCCTGTACCAGCATCTGCATGGCAAGGATCCAAACTTGAAAAAGCGACTGAACTGGGCAAGGCGGGTCACCATTGCTGTCCAGGCTGCTAGGGGAATTGAGTACTTGCATGGCTATGCTTGCCCTCCTGTAATTCACCGGGACATCAAGTCTTCGAACATATTGATTGATGAGGATCACAATGCGCGTGTTGCTGACTTTGGTCTATCTATATTGGGTCCTGCAGATAGCGGTACCCCACTGTCCGAGCTGCCAGCAGGGACTCTTGGCTACCTTGATCCTGAGTACTACCGTCTCCACTACTTGACTACAAAATCTGATGTCTACAGCTTCGGGGTTGTTCTCTTGGAGATACTGAGTGGCAGGAAAGCGATTGACATGCAGTTCGAGGAAGGGAACATTGTGGAATGGGCAGTACCACTGATCAAAGCAGGGGACATTTTCGCCATCCTTGATCCAGCCTTATCACCTCCCTCAGAACTTGAGGCCCTCAAGAAGATTGCTTCTGTGGCATGTAAGTGTGTCAGAATGCGGGGGAGAGATCGTCCTTCCATGGATAAGGTGACTACAGCTCTAGAGCATGCCCTTGCACTGCTGATGGGCAGTCCCTGCATTGAGCAGCCAATTCTGCCGACTGAGGTTGTTCTTGGAAGCAGCCGCATGCACAAGGTATCACAGATGTCCTCTAACCACTCTTGCTCAGAGAACGAGCTTGCTGACGGGGAGGACCAGCGGATCGAGTACAGGGCACCTTCCTGGATAACATTTCCTAGCGTGACCTCATCACAGAGGAGGAAATCATCTGCATCTGAAGCTGACATCGTTGGCCGAAGGACCACAGATGGTAGGAATGTCGGGAGCAGCATAGGTGATGGACTGCGGTCACTGGAGGAAGAAATCGCTCCGGCTTCACCACAAGAGAACCTGTACTTGCAGCACAACTTCTGAAGAAATTTCAGGAGCTGCAGAAACCAGAGCAGTGACTTCTGGCCATTGCTGAGCAACATTTTAAGTTCGGACTTCATGCCCTGTTGCTAAATCCAAATGCATTACGGTGTTTATAAGTCCTATATAGTAGCAGGCTGTCTAAAAACAGAGAGAGCTAACTAGTACTGGAAGAAATTATTTAGCATCCAGAAACATTCCATTGTAGATTCATATGGTCCCTTTCTTTTCCTGGTACAGTCTATCTTCTGATGGCTGCAGTTGATGGACTGTCTTGTATCCTTAGCATGCAAAACTGTGTAGTTTCCTTAATCCTTCAGATCATCTCTTTGGTTCGCGATGCTGTTTCTGCATGCTAAACGGCAGTAGCTTTGGGAACCAACTGTATGTCTGGGTCACCATGTTCAACATTCTTTCACAGTTTCAACTTGTGTTCTTGTGGAAGGTTCCTTCAGTTGCTTGATTTGTGATTCGCAGTAACAGGTTGGCTGCCCATTCTTCTCTTCAGAGACAGGTGACTAGGTTTGTGATTCTCAGAGGTCTACCTCAGCAATGGCTACTGTCATGTTCCATGATCTGTTTAGGATGCTGTTTTCAACACAATGAAAGACAGGTTGTTGCTGACCAATTAATGTTGCTTGGACATAACAAGCTTGCCATTATGTCTGATGTCTGATGCCAATGCTTCTTTCAGAAGTCATCTTTGTAAGGCCGTACGTACTGAATGAATTTTATTGCTTCTGGGACAGAAAAGATACCATCAATAATGTCTCTTGCTTTCATCTTTAATCCCTTGCGATCAATGTTGGCTTTCGCCTGGGACAAGAGCGGTGTTGCAAGTATCATAATGCTTTTAGCTCTACTCTTTATGGAGAATCTGAAGAAAGGAAAAAAAAACAAAATTGGGATGACGAGTAGGGACTTGCCTCGTATGCAAAATTTCAACATTTTCAATACAGCCTTCGATATAATTAGCTTGTTGGCCTATGTCGACAGTCTTCATCAATATAATTAGCACACGGTGGAAAATTTAACTTAACCATCAATCACCAATGTTAAGTTTGCCTTGAACATAATTTTACATTATACCAACTCCGTTGTATTTTGTACACGCATCTTGTACCAGTAGCACTATTTTGTGACTGTATGTGCCATTTTTCTTTTGTATCAAAAAAATTGTTTCCCCTTCAAAAACTCTATATGATACAGGTTACACGTGGACAACCCACAAGATGATGTATAAGAACTAGCAGCTGCCTTTTATTGTTGAACATAGGGGGATATATATATAAATATATATATATATATATATATATATATATATATATATATATATATATATATATATATATATATATATATGAACTCAACTACTACTGTGAAAGGATCAAGATGCCCAAGAGGGGGGTGAATTGGGCTAATTCTAAAATTCTTTGTAATAATTAAACCTTACATTTAGTCCATTTCACCCCTTGTGCCTAGAATGTGTTTCTATTGTTCTACCGCACAAAAGTTTTGCACCTTATGTTCCAATCCTACTCTAACATAGCAATTCTACGAATGTAAAGACAAGAAATGAATTGCTCAAATGTAAATGCTCAAAGTAAAGAGAAAAAGAAACGTGGCGATGTTTTCCCGAGGTATCGGAGAGTCGTCACTCCCCACTAGTCCTCGTTGGAGCACCCGCGCAAGGGTGTAGCTCCCCCTTGATCCGCGCAAGGATCAAGTGCTCTCTACGGACTGATTTTTTGACATTCCGTCGCGGTGAATCGCCCACAACTTGAGTTGGGTCATCCACAAGCTCCGCCGGATGATCACCAAACTCTAAATCACCACCGAGCCGTCTAGGTGATGGCGATCACCAAGAGTAACAAGCACAAACTCTCACTTGACCACGACAAGCCTAATGAGAAGGGTAGATGCACACTTGCTACTCTCCTTGCACTAATGAGTACCTTAATCTTGGATTCTCAAATCTCAATCACCTCACTAGACTCTTGCTCTCCTTTGCACTCTCAAGGGTGTTTCTCAGCTGAACAAATGGATAAGAGACCTCCCATGGAAGAGTGGAGTAAGTATTTATACCCCCTCATTCAAAACATAACGTTTGGAGGTTGAGTCAGCGCTTTGCGGGGTGACCGGATGCTCCGGTCAGTTATCCCCGTCACCGTGTCAGAAAGAGCCGTTAAGTTCTGACCGGACTCTGATCAGCGTCCGGTCAAGAAAAACGCTCTCTGGAACCTTACTGATGTTGACCGGACGCTGGCACCCAGAGTCCAGTCACTTCGCTGTTCAGCGTCCGGTTAGTTACCGGATCCTGATCAGCGTTCAGTCAGCATTGACTGGACGCGTCCGATCAAGAAAATCCTTCTCTGGAACCTCTCTGGAGTTGACCGGACGCTGGCACCCAGCATCCGATCCATCTTCACTCAGCGTCCGGTCAGTACCAGACGACTGCAGTTGATCAAATGAACTGACCGGACTCTCCCTCCAGCGTCCGGTCACAACCAGACCAGCGTCCGATCAATCAATTGACCCTCCATTCACTTGCAACTCGAAATTCTATGTGAATGAAGTTTGCTCCAATTGATCTTAGAGCTACTCCTGAGCTACCTAATGCTATGTTTGATAAGTGTGCACCACACCTAACCCACTAGACTCACCTAGGTCAAGATACTAGTCCATACCCCCCTTAATAGTACGGCCAAAGAAAAAACAAAGTCATAAACTATTCTAAGTGTCTCTTCAACACTAAACGACACTTAGAACTAGTTCGTTTTTAACCTTGTCGTCCATCTTTTAAAAACCGAAACGATTTCTATCGACGGGGGCATGCAACCATGATTGCCCAATCAATTGTCATTACCATGACCTAACTCAAATTGTCTCTGCAAAATACACGTTAGTCATAGTAATCTCATGTCGTCATTAATCATCGAAACCCAACTAGAGACCTAGATGCTTTCATACTGAAAAAGAGTTGGCTAACTATTAGCTAAGGGATATTCGGATTATAGGTGAGGATTGGTGGATTGTCCATAATGTCTTTTGCCCATCTATTAGCTAAAATTATCTGGATTTGACATCTAATGAGACAACCATCAGCTGGGTAACGTAGTTGGCTAATAGTTAGTTGGGCTATTAGATGTCCTGTTTGAGTTCATTAGATATAGTTTCAGTAACAAATTATTAGAGCTAATGGATCTAAACATATCCTAAAGCACATGACACGTCTCAAGAGTTTTCTATTTTTTTCTCCTAAAAACTCTATGTTTTTCAACTCTTAAAAAGTTATTAAAAAAAGAAAACGATCTCCGATAGTACATAATATTTTACTTTTAAAAAATTAAAAATTGATCCCACTTGGCCTTTTTTTAGCGGTTTTTTTTTCCGCTCGAAGGTCGAACACGTCGGGCTCGAACACGTCGCCGTCCAACGCCGCCGTCTCACCGGCCTTCTTCACAGGCACCTGCTCAAGCTCCGGCGCGGCCTCGAGCGCCGCTCGGCGGGCGTCGTCCAGGCCCGAGAGCGCGGACGGCGGCGGCACGGCGAGCAGACACACGGAGCCCAGGGCGAGCATCGCGGCGTCATGCGCGCGCGCCGCCGCCTCCGCGGCGAGGTAGGTGCCGAGCCACAGCCGCGCGCCGCGCTTCCCCGGGACGCGCACCTCGCACACCCACCGGCCCGCGGCGCACGCCGCGGAACACCGGAACTTGGTGCGCCCCGCGAGGCCCTTCTTGGGCGGAGGCTGCGGCGGGGAGGACGAGGACGACGACGCCGAGGTGGAGGTGGAGGACGAGGAGGTCGCGTGCTGCTGGAGCCGGCTCATGTCCATGGCTGCGCGCTGCTGATCCCTGCCGGTGGCTTCGCGGGAAGGAGGGAGCGGCGGCAAAAGAAGGCGCGAGAAGAAGGAAACCGCGCGGGAACGCCGTATCCGCGCAAAGTTACGCTCCTCAGTCCTCATCCCAATTCTTGGCCCAGTTATTGGTGTGGCTATATATGTTCTTAGTTCTAGTCAGCCTTATCAATCCCGTTGTGGTACCGGCATCTTGGACCAGACTAGTTCTAGCTATGCCGGTACAAGACTCCTAGGGTGCCTGGTTCATATCAGCTCAACCAAGCTCTATATAGAAGTGATGATAGATATATGTTTATTTAAGCACATGCAAGGTGCTTCAAGGACGACTTTGACTGTTACGTTTCTCATGTATTATATCTTTTATGGGAAAAATGATCATTATTAATTACTACTATTTCTAAATACAAATCCAATGTAACCCATTTTTGTTGTATGCCTAGTTTGAATTTTGAAATACTTGCACGCCTTATATTTTGGTATAGAGTACATGGTTACTACTTACTAGGTAGTCTAACTTGACATCAATTTGTCCTTGACGAAAAACTCAATGTGGAGAAAAAATCTTATTAAGTGGTGGATTGGATCAACTAAAACAATTTAAGGAGTAAAAAATTGAACAAAAAATGGTTTTGGGTTATCTGTACACATGGCAAACTTGAGGAGTAATTTAAAAATTTCCCAAAAAAACAAGCAATCTTATTAAGGGATATTTGACCAAATGATATTGTTGGAGGGAGTAAGTTGAACTAAAATTAGTTTAGAGCCATTGTGCTGCACACACCAAAGTTTTTCCCCTAAAAGCTACAACCCTTCCTAGGGCCTCCTCCCCATTGCCACCTTGCCCCCCTCTTGGCGACCTTGCTAGCGGACATAGTGGGGACCCACTCCTTCATAGTTACAGTTTCTTGTAGGATCTTGTTGGTGGCATCGACGAGGCATTGAAATAAGATCACTCCGATGGCGATGCAAGTTAGCGAGAGTATGTTTTGTCCGATCTGTTGGTTTTGTACAATCTTGGCAGTTCGTATGTTAATCAAGGGAAAGGGTTGGTTGGCTTTCGATGTGGTGATTTTGACCTCTTCTTTCAATTTGTTCTGTGCAAGGTCTGGTTCTTACAACACAATGCATTATGTGGGTAATAGATCTCATTACTAGCGGTAAGCCAGTAAGTAGCTTTTTCAGTCTTTAAAACCTTGTATGGTGAGGGTATCTGTAGGTGAGCTCTGGTGGGTGGCGAACACTCGAAAGAGAAAATGATCAGTTTGATCTTCAATGAACACATTTTTCAGATGCGGTTTTGGCCAAATTGTCTTTCTTTAATACTGACTATCATTTTCCATGATAAATATCTGATATGGTGCATTGTTTTGAGTGTCTTTATTCATAAAATAAACAAGAGCCTTATTTATGGAGAAATTTGGACTTTTCTTATTGTATTTACCATTTAAAAGCAAGTGCATTCCCACGCCTTGCCTGATTAAACGAGATAGCTTACGTGGCCTACGAAATAAACAGACAAGCAAAGCTCTGCCGTCCAGACCCGAGAGCGCCTGATGTCCTTGATAGGCGCAGTAGATTTACAAGGACCAGGTCCGTAGACCCAGAAACTTGCCCAACTCCCCGCAATGGGTGCCACTATTTCGAAAGTTTAGATGATTTTTTTAAAAAGGATTCCATTTTGTCCTGGAAAAAAAAGGCTTCCATTTTGTGGCTGTTGATTTCTTGGAAAAGAAGAAAATGGCAACCGATTATTCAAGTTGAACGTCACACCCATCTCATAAAAAAAACGCAGAACAATCCTATAAAGCTTACACCTGGTTCAGCGCTCTCCAAATAATATAGGAAGAACTACATAGAAGAAATAGAACAGGAGGTGGAAATTTTATGGCAAACTTTACTATCTTATTCCTCGCGCTGATCATAAGCCTGTTCACTTGCTCGTAAACAATCGTAAATTTCCAGCCGGGAACCGTGTTTTTCTCTCACACCAAACCAGCCAACAGTAAATAATCCACGATACGATACGGACTCCCGAACAGGCTGCATGTCATTTTGAATGTCGAGATTCCAGAAAGAGCTTTTACATGTTGCAAATGACCTATAGGTAAACTTCAGTTTCTACTAGCAAACTAACCACCTTTTACATGCAAAATCCATGTACATATCGAACCTTATATTCATTATCTTAATAAAAAAGGGTTAAACCAAAATCATGGCTAAAAGAACTGGTTAAGCAAGGATTCAATTCCATGTTTTCTTCTCCAGGAGAGAGGGGGAAAAATGGAAGCGCCATATACCAGGAACTGTCCTATGGACCCAGAGTACCCACCTCACTCTCACTTGGCATATTATCTCTGTTGGGTTGTTTGTCATCATAGCCAGTATCCTCATCTCACCCAGAACCCACCAATCACAGCCCACCTTTGTATTCTCTCCCAGATGTACCCCCTACAAAACCACCACCAAAATGTCCCACAACCCTTGAGGCCTTGACACAAGACACGCACAAAGGTGGGCCGTCACAAGCGCACACACACACAAGGCAAAGGCAACAGTCTCCATTCTCCACACCACACGATCACCAGCTCAGCTCTCACTAAACCCCATCCACTCCTTTATCATCGTCTGCCTCCCTCCCTCTCCATTCTCAGCTCAGCTGCGTCCTCCCGCCATCCATGGCAAATACTTCTCTGCAATCCTTTCTTCTCCCCCAGCACCATTCTTTCGCCAGCACCGGCGGCAGCCATGACGGCTCCCCTTCTACCCTGCTCAAGCTCTCCACCAACACCAGCGGCAGCATTTCCTTCAGGCTCCACCCCAACACCTCCCGCTCGGTGACCACAACCTCGACCACCAACTCGTCAGCTCCAACTCCAGTGGCCCCGGCAACATCAGCAGCAGAAGAAGACTCGTCACCGGCCCCCTCCCTCGACCTCCTCGGCCGCCAGCTCGCGGCGGGGGACTACCGCCAGGCTGACGAGACCACCCGGGCGCTCATCATCGACCTCGCTGGCGAGTCCGCGAGGCGCCGAGGGTACGTCTTCTTCTCCGAGGTCCAGTTCATCTCCGCCGAGGACCTTCACGCCATTGACGAGCTCTGGAAAGAGCACAGCAATGGCAAGTTCGGGTACAGCGTGCAGCGGCGGCTCTGGGAGAAATCGCAGCGCGACTTCACCCGCTTCTTCATCAGGGTCGGCTGGATGAAGAAGCTGGACACAGAGGTAGAGCAGTACAACTACAGGGCCTTCCCTGACGAGTTCATGTGGGAGATGAAGGATGACACACCTGAGGGTCACCTGCCGCTCACCAATGCCCTCAGGGGCACACAGCTCCTGGGGAACATCCTCACCCACCCGGCCTTCCAGGAGGAGAACCAGGAAGACGAAGCTGCAGCTGCAGCAGAGAGTGCCACCACTGGTCAAACCAAAGATGATAACAAAGGGAGGGAGAGACCAAAGTTCATGAGAGATTTCAAGCCTGATTATTCCTTTTGATTGAGGCTGGCAAAAAAGGGCATGGGAGTTTGTGATGCAGAGATGCTGGCATGGTGTAATTGATTTAAAAGATCATGTATCTGTAGCTGTAGTTCTGTTTGGGTTACTTTGTCTTATAAAACATGCATGAAAGATTGTGCAATATATATTACGGATATAATTGGTTCAGGTGTTTGGTCTGCACATGATGCTTGAGACAAGGAGAAATAGGCTGCTCAGGATAGCCACAAATATTAATTATGAGGAACCATGGATGCAATGCATCTCTATCACACTCTACTGGTATCTATATAGACCAACACACTGCCGAATCGTCTGCATGCATTTTCATTCAGCATGCAACATCCTACTAAATACCATGCAAAGATTTGCAGGTACTCCATTTCCTTCTGCATCCATGATGCTTCTCAAAAATAGGAGCAGATCTTTGCAGGTACTCCATTTCATTTTGCATCCATGATCCTTCCCAAAAATAGGAGCAGAGTAGGATATTCTTTTTGAGGCAACCCGCATCCAGTACATAAAAAGGTTGTTCATCATGGGAGTGATGGAGAACCATCGGTTTTCAGCTTATCACCTCCACTTGTTTCCTGTCAAGTGAATATGACTGACATGAGCAAACCTACTTTGTCCACATCTTGGCACTTGGCAATTAAATGAGCCTAAAGCATGATAGAAAGTTTTTCAGAGAAAACTACCCCTCTACTGTCTTATGAGTGTCGCATTCCTTTTCCCTTCTCAAGCGCATGGACAGAGCCTTCGAGTATGCTGATGCGAACCATCACATGTGAGCCGCTCATCCATCTGCATGTATAAGCATGCTCCTGGATTCTGAAATAGAAACCAGAAGAAAGTCAGTCAGTTCCACTTCCACATTTTAACTGACCATTTTATGTTTATTAGCAAAACATCAAAGTAGAAAGCACAAACATATAACTGAAAAAAATCTAGTCAATAGGCACTACCAGCATCCCTCGTGTAGCATTGAGAGCTTAACTTCGGCAATTCCTAATATTGCTAAATCAGGCATGCATCGATACCATAAGCAACAAATACACTTTTCATTATTTAAATTAAAATAGAGGCATAAAAGTTAAATTAATGAATCTAATTTTGCACATATTCTGAGTCTTTGATTGCAGGAAAAACCAATAAATGACAACAAAACGTAAGATTCCTTTTGGAAGGTATCTAACAAAAAGATAAAGAACACAGTTTAGGTGGCTTTAAGGACTGGTGTTGCTGCTATAATTTTTTTTCTTCCAAAAGTAGCCTGATAAATTTCTCAATCCACCAAATCCTCTCATTTATCACCACCCACTGTTATGTGCGTGAAATTCTAGATCTTGCATCCAAATCCCATTTGGTATGACACCAACTAGATGTTTGTGGTGCTGTCTCAACTTTGTTAGTGCCAAAGCAGAGACATGATAATATCTGAGATAATAAGCTTGATCATTTAAGTATGTTAAAATCAAAGCTGAAGTTGAGTAGATGTATCCAATTGAGGCAGAGAAAAACATCGGTTTGATGGGATCATTGGTATGACCAGACAAAGGCCGTGTTTGTTTCGGATTAAAATCTGATTCTCGGTTGGCCTGCTGCAGGGTATTTGGCGGACGGTGGGCAAAATCACGCGGTGGGTGAACAGAGCACAGTTCATTTTCTGCAGTGGGCAAACTGGAGCTCGGCAACCACGGCTGTGTAAACGCAGCTCGATTCTCAGGAGAGTGGAAACAAACACACCTAAAGTAGCTATTGTGGCTTGGATAGCTGGGCAAACAACGAATTTTGTCAGCCCCCAAAAAGTATATGTAATGGTACTCTTCAGATGGCTAGGTCAGAAGGATCACCTTGTGAAGATAAATAGATTGGAAGCCAAGTTATCTCTTTAATTAAGAATATGTCTGTTGCAAGTTAGGAAGGTAGGATCATATCTAAAAGATCCCATCAATAGTTGACCTAAGGGCCAAGTTATCTCTATATACATAAAATGAAGGGGGTATATCATGGCTCAAGTTCATTAAGGAGAAGCGAAGGGCTAGCCCCTTCAGCTCTCAGCTCTCCAGATCCCCTGTGCTGCCTCGTAAATTCCTAGCCATAAGCCCATAACACTTTGTTGGTTAAATGGCTGACTATTTTCAGAAATTGGAGCAAGCACAGCACAGTGAATGTCAGTTTGAAGTAGGTGATAAACAGCATAATCAGAAGAGTACACAAGATATCCTATCCAATATGACCTGAGTATGAAAACATCCATTTCTTTCTTCTTAATATAATGAAGCGCAGTTCTCATGCGTTTTTGAGAAAATGAAAGCATCCATTTTCAGCCTTGTTTGGATACCCTCGTATCTACCTCAATCCTCATGGGTTGAGATGGATTGGAGTGTAATTTAAACTTACACTCCAATCCACCTCAACACATGCGGATTGAAGATTTGAAGTGAATACACAAGTATCAAAACAAGCCTTTCTAGATATAAAACCTATAACAGTCTGCTTGTCGTGAAACAGTTAAATATGAAAATGAGATAGACAATAGTCCAAGATTGATTTTTTTTTTAAAAAAGAAAATACCATTCATACCAAGCTGATTGGAGCTTCATCAACAACTTCGGTGGGTTGGTCTGGTCCAAGGCTGGGAAAGCAGCCACTCTTGCATCTCATATATTTCTGCAAACTGGTTTGAATAATTCAGCTCAAGTGAGTGTTATCCTGCACGTATGGATGAACAGAAAAACACATACAGAGAAACACAAACATTGCTCCAGTTTATATTATCCAATCTCAAGAAAGTTTCCTTGGGAATCGGGATGATGATCTAACATCGACGAATTTATTGGCCATCAACTGAGAATGTGATGATGGATGTATTTTCACATCAAGAACAAAATCTAGAACTAACAAGCTCCCAAGCTAACAAGAACACTACTAAACATGAACAAATACTTCCTATCATGAAAGACCTACTAACAAAATGATCAAGGGTACATAGGATCCAGATGAGGTCCACATCCACAACATATTTTCCCAACAATTTATAGCAACAATATTACTGACAGTGCTAATGATGTCATGCAGGCTTAATAGAAGTTATATCTGCTTTACATTAGAGCAAGGTGTACCCTTCAATTTTCAATGTGGGTCTTATAAATTATAATGCTATAGCAACTATGGAATAATTCACACAGATTGTACAAAAAACAGGCTAACCATACCAACACAACGGTGATTTCTTAGGATTCATCACTTTGTGAGCTACAGGCACAAGAGGCCCATCTCTTCCCAGCAATTTTTTGAGGGGGGGATAAAATTTTCCTCACCTATTCTTCATTTAAACAAGTAACTGATAATAGTTGATGACTTGATGATATCAAACTTGGCTGGCACTGCTTATCTATACATTTCCAATAGGGCTGGTTATGACATCACATTCAAATTGGAGGACAACTGGAAATGGAAGTCAGTTGTTGTTTCTCTAGGATAGCAAAACCTCACAACTGATGTGCCAAGATCCGAATTGGATCCTAATGTGCTTGTGCCAAGGTCAAATTCAGATGGCATCACCTCTGGGACAGTATCTTGTGTAATTCTCCCGTCTTCCCCTATCCTTTCAGGTATAAAGCTTACGTGGACCCTAGTCAAAATTCATATTCAATAATAAATATACACCTAGCCTAACTGTTGTCAGGGCAGAGCTAGACTCAGCACACCCTCACCTCCCCATTTTGCTCCAGATTCCCAATTCAGTCTATATGGGATGTTCCTTTTCCAGAGACCTAGACATCTGTCATACACTCATACTCTCACCCAATAGCATAACCCAAACCTAGGACAAGTAACATATGCACCCTCAGCAGAACTTCCATGCACAAGGACATAAAAAATTTAGGATGTCAATGTAAATTGTGTTGGTGCTGACAGATTGATAGCAGTTGAAAATTGAAAAAAATACATGTAAATAGCAAAAGACGTTTATCAAGTTTGTATGTAACAGCCTGGAATGTTTCAGACTTCACTATAATACTGATGGTCCCGTCCAGATACAGTCTACTTGACTATTCAATTGATAAGTTATGCAATCAAAATGGAACTTGCTACATGGCTAGTCGGCTAAACAGAGTTGCTATAGTGTGGCATGTCATTTGTAATTTGAGGATAATTGATTGAACTGCAACGACGGATGTAATTTGAAGATACACAATTGGACTCTTACATCTCGCATTTGTTCAGCACAGAGAGCCTGCTTGGAACACATGACTGTCCTCTTACTTTGCAAACCAAGCTGCAGGATTCCCCGGGCCTAAATTCCATTTGAGATTTCATAAAGCAGTTCCCAGATCCACATTCACTTTAGAAAAATAAGGTGCTTAAAGTGGAAAGCCTTACCTTCCTACTACAACGTTAATGCCCAACAACTTTGATACAGAACTAGATTCAATTGATCCTGGAGAATGTTTACATTCCATGATCATTTCCAACCATATAATTCAAAAAAAAAAATGCATCATAAGCACTAGGAATAGACAGAAGGTAGAGCTCCTGCCACAGACTTTCTGTCCAGATTTAAGTCTAAGATAATAGGCCAATATACTTTGGCTATCAAAATTCTCAAGCATTCGTTTATAACGACAATAAGTCAATAGATGAAATTACATTGGGTGTCCCAGCCATGATTCCAGACCATAGCATATGTTACATATTTCTAGTAATTCTAATGCTGCTAGCAGTGAATATTTGAGAACATGGTAATTCCAGTCTACAAGTAATGACCTGAGAACATGTTACAAATGATAAGTTGTAATATAGCCAAGAAATATAGTTCATAGTTTGTCATACCTGATGAATTTTGCTGCACTGAAAAACAGTGATGGAAGTCACTGGCATAGGCATTTTCATGAACCTGGTAAATCGAAAGAACAACTTAGTTTGAACTTCTTTGGACAAGCAATTGTTGTAACAAACATTAAAAGACACGAAACTGAAAAAACTACTTGTTTTAGTTTAAACAAAAAAATATGCCGTAAAGTAAAAGAATTATTGTACTGGGCACTTAGGGGGGAGTGGGGAGGCAGTACCACACTTGCAGAGCTATGGCGGCATCTTCCCATGCAGAAATCGAAAACATTTGTGTATGTTCCTGGAGAAAATTAACGGTAAACTTCATTTGTCATATTCCAAATTCACCAATTAGCAATTGATAACTTCAAGCATCTTACCAGCAGTAACTGGCTTAGCTACCTTCAGCTTCAGCACATCTTCTTTCTTGATCTGTCAAAAAGGTTGAGTAAAATATTTATGAAACAATTCATTTTTGTTTTCCAGACCTGGTACTACTTATTAGGATTTACCTTAGAAGGATTCAAACAGCAAGAAACACAATATTCATATGAATTGCAGCACTGTAAATCAACTTTGCAGCCCCTGGATTATGTCATGAAGACTTATGTCAGACTTTGCAGGGTAACCAGTTTTGATGGAGTGTTACATATAAATATAATATGGTAAAATGAAAATAGAAAACTCACTGGCAGGAAAAGTGGTCCCCTGTTGTTGGGCAGCAGTGAGACCATGGATTGATTGAAAGTGTAGAACATACATAACCTGCAAAGGGAAGTGTTTTATCAGAGAGATGGTTGTCAGATAGTGCAGCATTTATAGGAAAAAATATCTAAGCATGCAAGACAAAGGTGCAGGAGTATTGCCATTATCATCAGAGATCAGATGGCGCCCCTGAACAGTGCTTCTGCACACAACTGGTTCAATAAAGCCAATGTCCTCCTGCACAATATTTGAAGTTCTTTACTTAGCTTTACTGAAATATAAACTGTAAAATTTCTCTCATATTCAGAATGACAAGAATATCCCAATACTAGACTGAAGCAATTCACTGATACGCATGCTGCCTTATGCCATGAAAAAATTGTCCACTTGTAGCTTGTAGCTAGCTAACACTGCTCTCCACCTTTACACTGAAACATTTGTCTTCGTCCCTTCCCTTTCATCTACCTCTCTTTCTTCTTTACTTGCCTAATCCACACTCCTTCCTTCCACAATTCCATCCCACATAAGCTTCCTCGTCCTTCCCTCGTCTAATCCTACATTCCTTCTGCTAGCGATTTGTGACAATGAACTCAAATCAAACAGACCAACAATAAAGGACAAAGCTGAACATTGTCAAAGGTTATGGGGGATATTTTCATGATAATCAAAGAAGGTAAATGCCAATAATATTTCACAATGTATCAGCTTTTTCCCAAACAGTGGCACAATGTACTGAAACGAATTTGAATCGTCAAAATTAGCTTGGCATTCACCTTCCCCCCACCTCACAGTATACATCAATACTAGAATCAAGCATGGGGTCCCAGCCCGTGACCAAGTGAATCCTGACTGGTGCAACTACTCGTCTTTATCTACAAGGAACTTTCAACTGCTGAACATCGAGTGCGTGCGACGAGCACGGGCAAAGGATTCGGGGCCCTGGCAACGGTAGGAAGGAGAGTGCGGATCTCACCGGATACCGGAGACGGGGGTAGGGAAGCAGGCGCAGGCCGCGACGGCGACGGCGGCGGCGAGGCGGAGGATCCGGCCAAGGGGAGGGCGCGGACTGGCCATCCCGGCAGCGGAATCGACGACGCAGAAGCGAATTGGGCCCCTTTTTTTTGAACAAAACTTTCTCAGCCGCTCTGCTTGCTTGCCATTGCCACGGTGCCTTTTCGCCGTTGAACTAAGGTGCTGTTTGGTTGGTCTATTTTGGGCCGGTACCTGTTTACAGTGCAATCCGGTCCCATTGGACTTTGTTTGGTTCGAGCGGCCCGTAAACGATCGTGGCTGTAACGGGTACCAGCCCATACAATCCGAATACCCCCGCTCAAGTCAAAAAAATAAAAATAAAATAAATCCTGGTAGCCGATCCCATCCCCGACCAGCATCGTCTCCTCCTTCCCACGGGTACGACCAAAGTTTCTCCTGGTTTTTGTTATGGCCTCTCCTAACTAACATAACCCTTCTCTTGTAATATACGAGGTTTTTAAGTAACATAGGCCCTGTAATATAGGAGTTACGGTGAATCCGAACAGCCCACGGCTGAATTTAGCTAAATTTAAGCTAAAGGCTGTTTCAACCCAACTAAGGGCATGTTTGGATCCACCAGCTAAACTTTAGTTGGCTAAATTTAGCTAATAGGATCCAAACGGCCTAGGTAAAAGATCATCTAAAGTTTAGCTGAGTTTAGTTGTTTCAACATAGCTAAAGCCAGCTAAAATTTAGCTGAGTCTATTAACTGAAGGATCAAAACACCCTAGCTAAAGTTTAGCTAAGAGAATTTTTAGCTGGCTTAAAGTTTTACTTTGAAATTTTAGCTACCTATATAAACTTTTAGTTGGGTGGATCCAAACGGACCCTAAAACTAGTTAAATGGCTTCAATGACCAAACTGCCCCTAAAATTTAGCTAGAGGATCAAACACCCCGACTAAAATTTAGCTAGCTAAACAATATAATTAATGAGGGATAACATGGTCAAGGTTTCCAATTAGCTAGAGAATTCAAATACTCCCAGCTAACTATAGCAATTTTAGTCGGAGGGCCATAGATAGGTAGGAATCTTAATTTGTGCCGTGTTTGGTTTGTGCCTCCTAAACTTTAGTCATCTAAATTTAGTCTCTTTTAGTCACTTTGGAGCCGAACATTATGACTTAGATGTGACAAAATGACCTTTAATCCTCTCTAATCACTTTGGAGTTTTTAAAAAGGACTAAACCATTTAGGAGGGAAAAGTTTAGAACCACAAACCAAACAAACTTTAATTAGACCCTCTGATTCTTAATAGGTATCATAATTCAAATAGCGTTCTTTTTTTTTTGTCCACTTTGGTTTCTATTTCTTTTTTTTCTTTCTCCGTTTCTGTCCATGTCCTCCAAGGCTCCAATTCATGTTTTCCATTTTTTTCTTATCAACAAATCATGCACGGACAAAGAAAAAAAAAACAAAGCGTGAGGAAGACAAGAAAACGTGGACAATAAAAAATAGAACGACAAAAGAAAATGAATCATGCACAGACAATAAAATAGATGGAATGAAAAAAAAGAAAACAAATCACGGATGGACAATGAAAAAATAGATCCAAAAAAGGAAAATGAATCACTGACAGAAAAAATCAAGATAAAGAAAATCATGAATGGAGAGAAAAAAAAGGAACTAAAATAAAAAACTCTTTGTGGTTTAATATTAGGATAGGATAAGATAACAAGAGAAAAAAAATAGAGATCATAATTGGTGTAATACATACTCCGATCCGTAACTGAACTGACGACGAGTGCTCATATGAGTTATAACTAAGTTCATGCCTGTCCGTTGCAGCGAGAGATAAAATTTTCAATTCTAACATGTATGAGTGTTCATTCAGCATGGACCAAGGAAAACAAATGACATGACAAAAAATGTTCACCAACAGTTCTAGCATCATCAGTATATTCTGGTCTAATTTTTATGAACTCCAATTGTTTTCAAGCAAACAACATTGCAATTCACATTTTAGGATAGAAGATACCCAACATTAAAAGCTTACATTGATATCATATAAAATTGGAGGTTCCACCAAATTATAAAGCATTCAAAGTTGGCAACAAATACGTAGTGTCTTTGAACAAAAAAAAGCACAAGTATACATATGACATTCCACTATCAAAAGGCATACATATATAACCTAGGTAAATATTTGTACCGACTAATAGTTTATCAAAAAAACATTTACCGACATTTGATCTGTGGATCAGCTATACTGATAAATGGTTCAATGGTGTTAGTATATTTATAACAGACACTATATCAGTGTTGTGGTGTAGTGTGCAACAATGTGAACTGAGTTGGCTAAATCCCGTACTTGCTTGTGAACCGCAGAGGAATAAGGGACTAACTTTCTTGAACGATGCGAGGAACAAGCAAACGAGATTGCAAATTACTCTTACGAAAGGAAATGTATCGCGCGGGTATATATATGGCACCCATGATGTTGTGTTTGGTACTATCAGGACTCTAAAATCGTGAAATCCATGACGGATACAGCAGCAATTCATTGGTACACCCGAGTAACTATAATTTGATCCGTCTGGAGATTCGGTACACGTACGTCATGCATGTTATAAAATATGTCGCCAGCGGTTCGAACCTTTCCCTCTCCGTCTCTCATGATCAACATAGTAGATGAAAGTATAAGATAAAGACACAAGAGATAAAGAGACTATTCTTTATTCCTCTAAATATTGGTAATTATACTATAGAGCTCCCACATATATATAGTAATACCAAAGCCTAAGAGTTTGATAAGAGTCCACATGCAAACGGACTATGATTAGAATTCTTCCTTATCTTTTCCTTCTAGGGTAGAGTCCGTATGTTTTACAACACTCTTTCTTGGGCAATTACCACGATATGCACATGTCTCATCAAAAACTCTATCCGAAAACCCAATGGAAAAACAGTTCTTGGAGAAAAGAGTACATCATATTCGTTAATTGCATTGCATATGTTGTCTCATTAAAAACTTTGTGTGAGAAACCTAAATAAAAACTCACATAGGAAAAAGAGTACAACATTTAACCTTCTTGGTCATTCATTCTTCAGGATATTCTATTGTTCACGAATAAATATTAATCTTTATGATCTATTGTCACACCTAATTTTAAGGATAAAATTAAATACATAAAACTCATGTGTGTCCAAGGATCAGTCACACACATAAGTTGACAAATTATAGAAGTATCTTCACGGTGTATCTTACATCACGATTGATACAATCACATAGTCTTACACAACATAGCGAAAAATAAAAAGTTAGCTCTCTCGTGGTAGTTCCAACACAGGGATGGTCAACTGGTTGACCTCAAGCCTAGAAGTTCTCTGAAAACTCCTCATATCCGTGGACATCTGTTACACATCTGGGATTTTTATCCAAATATTAAAAGTAAACAAGTGTAAGTACTTCCCGTACTTAACAAGATAACATGAGGTTATGAAAGCTCAAAAAGGGTGACTCTGGTTTACTGTGATTTGCACTTTTAGTAAGTTGAGATTTTATTATCAACTATTATCAAGTTATGCTTAAGCTCCAATAAAACCCACATGATCAGATATCAGAATCAATTGAATTATATTATCATCGTAGAACATCATAAATGAACAACAATAAGTAACCATTTATTCTGTGAGTTTTTTGGGCCGCTCGTGACCGTGAGCACGACTGTTATAATAGTTTGTAACACTCTACAAAGGTTGTGCACTTTCACCGTGAGTCGTGATTCCCATAAGCCGGGTTAATTACTCCCATAACACTGCCAAAGTGAGTGGGTGGGGTACACTATGAAGCCATTTCATAGGTTTCTCTAACAAGTTAGGGCTGCTAGGTTTCCTCGGCAGACAGATGTAGGAACCCCCCTTTCTTATGACACATCTCTATCGCGGCTATACACATAGGAATAGAGGCAGTCCTATACCCAACGTGGCAAGCCCCTTTTGCGCTATAAAGGTAACCTCTAACAAGCTAGAAAAGGTCCTATTACTGAGCTAAAGTCAGAGCCATGTGACCCTTACAGTTGCACTATCAGTCCCAGCTTTTGCCGACAGATAAGTCCTTATGGAGGGCCAAGAGCATCATGATCAAAAGTCATTTGCTCCTTTGCCCTATAATTCAGTTGTTTAAAAGCAAATTTTACCTTTTCGTTCCATAGAACCATTAGTCATTATGTAGATCATGTATAGTTACATTGAGCGCTAGCAAACTACCCATATGCATATAACCCGTAGGAGACAAGGAAACATGATATTCAACCACTAGGATGTCCTTACAGGTATCAAAATTAGACACATGCAAATGAGAGATTAATAAATGGTGAATAGGACATCAAGGTAGATCCCATGCTATACTTGCCTTGCTCAACGAACTCGGGCTACTCCTGCTGGTCATCAAAGAACTCTTGGTCTCCAACGTTCTCCTCACCGTCTGAACTCGACCAACAAAGCAACATACAAGCATTCCAAAGTCATTCGTGCAAAGCAAACAATTATGGGATTAGAACAGTATACCAGGGCATAAAAACAAGATAAAAAGGTTATTAAAAAGAATCTACGTCTCTCTACGATCACATAGACGCGAAGTTCATGAAAAACAGAGCTAAAACACGAAAGTTATGAATTAAACAGGGTTTCCTATAGCAATTTATTTAATTAAATCTAACCTCAAAATTTAAATGTTGCAAACATGTTTGACAGTGGTATTAACATGTAGAGAACTTAATTACGAACCTAACGCAATTTGAACGGGTCGATTCGGAGCTAAAACGACGATTTTATAATCAAAACAATGTAGTGGCATTTCTGTAAATAGAATGAACTATTTTTGAATTTAAATAAAATTAAATCTGGGATATTTAAACCGGCTGAGGACTGCGGGTTCAATTTAACAAAACTTGGGGGTCTCTTTAGCAAAAAGACTCGTGAAGGGGTATCGGCCATCCAGGGCCGTTGATCAAGCAATGGGTGGCTCAGATTAGAAAGGACAAGGGAGAGGGGGAGGTGCCGAGCGGAACAGTGGCGGTTGCGGCGGCGCAGCCATTGCCGG